GATTGTGCTCCAACATCCACCCAGTAGTAGACCTAGGGTAACAAAGCCACAATGGGATCGACTCATTGTGCTCCAACATCCACCCAGTGGTAGAATTAGGGTAACAAAGCCACGATGGGATCGACTGATTGTGTTCCAACATCCATCCAGTGGTAGACCTAGGGTAACAAAGCCAAATGGGATCAAAGCCACAATGGGATCGACTGATTGTGTTCCAACATCCACCCAGTAGTAGACCTAGGGTAACGAAGCCACAATGGGATCGACTGATTGTGCTCCAACATTCACCCAGTGGTAGACCTAGGGTAACAAAGCTACAATGGAATCGACTGATTGTGCTCCAGAATCTGTCCAGTGGTAGACCTAGGGTAACAAAGTAACGACAAGGTCTGCGTTTGACATATCAGTGTCAGCATTCTCTGCCCCCTACCCGCAACATCCGGGTACATAATATCATTCTCTGCTCAGACCGTCAGGAACAGGTTGAGAGAAGCTGGTGTACGTGCCAGAAGACCTAATGTTGGCCCTGTGCTTCGACAACAACATCGTCGACATCGAGTTCAATGGTGCATCAACGTTCAGGCCTGGAACCTACCGAATTGGCGTAGAATCTGGTTCAGTGATGAATCACGATTTCTATTGGAACGACGCGATGGAAGAATGCGGGTGTACAGACGTCGACGTGAACGTTTCTCCGACGCTTGCGTTCCCCAGGTGGACAGATTCGGCCGGGAAAGTGTTATGATGTGGGGAGAGATCACCTGCCGTAGGAGAAGTGATTTGGTGATGATCCAGGGCAACCTGACAGCTCAACGGTACTGTGACGAAATCCTACGCCCACACCTCCTTCCAATCATTGATCGCCAGAGGGAGTTGTTTCAACAGGACAATGCCAGGCCCCACACAGCACGTCACACTAGAGACTTCCTCCAGAACCACAACATCAATGTGCTCCCTGGCCCTCAAGATCACCGGACTTAAACCCGATCGAACATCTGTGGATGCCCTGGACAGACGGGTGCGATGCCGAAACCCTCAGCCACAGACATCTTCAGCAACTCGCACAGGCACTACAGGCAGAGTGGGTTGCGAGATTCTGAGACTTATTCGTTCGATGCCGAGGCGATGCCGTGCAGTTCTGGATGCCCACGGTGGTCACACGAGGTATTGACTTCAGCGCCACCACACGTCTCCATGTGACTCTCAAACTGACTTTCCTCGAGTCGGTGCCAAAGACGGATAAGTCTGCATTCCCAGTGTGCAATTTCGCTATATTTCATTGACTCATAAAGCATACAACATGTTTCAAAATAAACATAAAAATACAGTTGAAATTCCTATATGCGTTTCTTTTTTGGGAGAGTATATTTCATGTTTGTCCTCACCGTCTTATCTCTACGAATGTACTACAGCTGTACGATGTTGTTTGTAAACAAATCGAGTCTGGATCAGACAATCCAATAATTGTAACCATGCGATACGATGATGACAGAGCATGTTTATGAATCACTATGAAATATAGATGTGTTCGCGAAAAGTTGAGTGTATCGAGTCATCATTGTTCCTAACTCTTGACGGATCTATAAGATTGATATATAAGGTTGCAATGGCAGATCTACGAATTACCTTTTATTCATGAATTGATAACGGTATTATTAAGGACCTATTACCCTATATTAACAGATCATTAAGCCTACAATAGCTGATCTGGAACCAATTGTTAACGACTCTATGTTGCTGTGGACACAGTGATCTGTTTCGCTGTAACATGCACTAACGCGTAAATGTGCGAGTGAAGTTCGAAACCCTTTCCTTTGGCGTACAGGATATGCAGGGTATCTTAAGAATGGTCGAGTGGAAATCCATGCACTCATGTTTGCCCGCCAGTACGAAAGCATATACGTGTCCATTCTAAAATCATATTATCAAGGTAAATGATACTTCCATCTACCTTGATGACACTTAGATCTTACACTGATAATGATTCTTACATAATACACCGTATATTTGACAGATTAAGTATTTTCAGAATGGCAAATTTGGCCTTGCATTTATGAAGAATTGTTAAGGGGGTCAACAACAGAAAGAACTTGTCCCTGATCCTTTTCACATTGTGAATAAAATATGCTTCAACTTAACCACACCACATTGATACTGTATGAGGCTACCATCCAAGAAAAGTGGCTGTGTTGTATCGTTTACCGTTACTACATCCTCAAAACAGTAGCGGAGAGTACAAGAACTGTTGTAACTGGGATAAGTATAACTGGTGCTACTGTGGGTCATCACGAAAACTTAGGACGAAATTATATACAAACAAAAACATGTCGTAGAATCACTCTAATCTGTTGTTTTTCATGATTTCTCCATTGCGAAACTTAGATTTTAGAGGTGAGAATTGAATGTGAAGAGGTGAGCATTCTGCCCAAATTGGGCTGCAAATTCACAGGAAAATGCCACTGTTTGGTGTGAGAGTACATAAGAGTTTACTTTCATTTTCGAAGGAGATGATCTCATCGCTATAGATGACATTTTCATGCACGTAAAATGGTAGTATCGCGTACGAAATGAAAGTATCATCTACGTAGATTAAAGTATCATCGCCTTTAATATATATATCCAAGGTACATGACAGTATCTATCACGTGAATGGAATTATAATCGACGGTCCTTTATTGTCCAGGAACGATGAATTGCAAAATAACTCAATATCGGGAATAATATATATAGGTCAGTACCGTACACGGGAATAAACACCCTGTGTCAAGCAGCAAATATCTGTCATTTTATACGCATCATTGGAGAAACTTGTTTGTGATTCTTATTGTTGCGTGCATATGATGACATAAAGTTGTTTAAGCAACTATCTTATTGTTGTGTGCACATAATGACATAAAGTTGATAAAGAAACTATTTAATTATTGTGTGCACATGATGACATAAAACTGTTGAAGAAATTATCGTATTGTTGTGAGCACATGATGACATAAAGTTGTTGAAGAAACTATCTTATTGCTGTGTGTGTACATGATGACATAAAGTTGTTGAAGAAACTATCTTGTTGGCTATTACATGATGTTGTGTGCACATGACATGACATAAAATGTTGAAGAAATTATCTTATTGTTGTGTGCACATGATGACATAAAGTTGTTGAAGGAACTATCTTATTGTTGTGTGCACATGATGACATAAAGCTGTTGAAGAAACTATCTTACTGCTGTGTGCACATGATGACATAAAGTTGTTGAAGAAATTATCTTATTGTTGTGTGCACATGATGACATAAAGTTGTTGAAGAAACTATCTTATTGTTGTGTGCACATGATGACATTAAGTTGTTGAAGAAACTATCTTATTGTTGTGTGCACATGATGACATAAAGTTGTTGAAGAAACTATCTTATTGTTGTGTGCACATGATGACATAAAGTTGTTGAAGAAACTATCTTATTGTTGTGTGCACATGATGACATAAAGTTGTTGAAGAAACTATCTTATTGTTGTGTGCACATGATGACATAAAGTTGTTGAAGAAACTATCTTATTGTTGTGTGCACATGATGACATAAAGTTGTTGAAGAAACTATCTTATTGTTGTGCGCACATGATGATATAAAAAATGTTGAAGAAATTATTCTTATTGTTGTGTGCACATGATGACATAAAGTTGTTGAAGAAACTATCTTTATTGTTGTGTGCACATGATGACATAATTTTTGAAGAAACTATCTTATTATTGTGTGCACATGATGACATAAAAATGTTGAAGAAACTATCTTATTGTTGTGTGCACATGATGGCATAAAGTTGTTGAAGAAACTATCATATTTTTGAGTGCACATGATGACATAAAGTTGTTGAAGAAACTATCTTATTGTTGTGTGCACATGATGGCATGAAGTTACGTTGAAGAAAAACTATCATATTGTTGTGTGCACACATGATGACATAAAGTTGTTGAAGAAACTATCTTATTGTTGTGTGCACATGATGACATAAAATGTTGAAGGAATTATCTTATTGTTGTGTGCACATGATGACATAAAAATGTTGAAGGAATTATCTTATTGTTGTGTGCACATGATGACATAAAGTTGTTGAAGAAACTATCTTATTGTTGAGTGTACATGATGACATAAAGTTGTTGAAGAAATTATCTTATTGTTGTGTGCACATGATGACATAAAGTTGTTGAAGAAACTATCTTATTGTTGTGTGCACATGATGACATAAAATTGTTGAAGAAACTACCTTCTTGTTGTGTGCACATGATGACATAAAGTTGTTGAAGAAATTATCTTATTGTTGTGTGCACATTATGACATAAAGTTGTTGAAGAAACTATCATATTGTTGTGTGTACATGATGACATAAAGTTGTTGAAGAACTTATCTTATTGTTGTGTGCACATGATGACATAAAGTTGTTGAAGAAACTATCATATTGTTGTGTGTACATGATGACATAAAGTTGTTGAAGAAACTATCTTATTGTTGTGTGCACATGATGACATAAAGTTGTTGAAGAAATTATCTTATTGTTGTGTGCACATGATGACATAAAGCTGTTGAAGAAACTATCTTATTGTTGTGTGCACATAATGACATAAAGTTGTTGAAGAAACTATCTTATTGTTGTGTGCACATTTTTAACGGAGGGGGCACGACGGTGCATCTATGTAGATCATTTTCAAAATTTGGAGCTACTATATGCGTCAGTAGACGACCAATAAGTAAACAAATGTGTTTAGTATTATCAAAAACACCGACAGTCATATTGGTATGTATTATTATTATTCAGATGATCACGCTGAGTTTTACAGTTTTGAACTCGAGATAAAAAAAATCATATTTGAGACAATACTTAAAGAATTTGGTTATTTCATTGATCGATATTGTTCCTTTCACATTTGCTTGTAAATACGTTAGCACAGAGCATAATTCCAAATATTAAGATTGATGGCATTGTCACGTGACACATACATTTTCATTATTCTAGAAGGACCCTCACCATGCCTGCCACGCAAGACCGTGTGGCGCGTCAGTGATATATGTACCTGTGAAGACCACAACTGAGTATATTTTGCCTGCAATACAGTAAGCAGAAAAGTCCCAACACATTTTATAGAGATAGACAATTGTTCCTCTGACATAATGTAAACTAAACTACTGAATCGAAACTTTCAATGAATTACGTTTTCCCTGCTAACATCTCACTGGTAGAACTGTGAACACGTCAACGGTGTAAGCATGAATAATGTATTAATATATTCATATAATCGACAATGTCTGACGAGACTACTTTGCTTCTAGATTCCATTTGTTCCTGTGGACCACCAGAAGTCCAGATAGGACACGCCTCCCTGGTCACCGCTCCGGGCCACGCCCACTGACTCCGCCCTTTGCTGTGTACACGTGTAGTGATGGATTTGTACGATGTGACTGGAAGTAACACCACGACATGCCAATCAGCAAACTGGTCGCAACTGTCCCTTGTCTGTCAGGGTATGGGACTTTTACCATTGCAGAAGATTTCACTATCGGTTATCCATTTCGGACAGTGTGTTGCTTTATGAACAAGTGTGGTGAAGTGTATTACACTAACGCATAAAGGCACTCCTTCATGACATCCCCGCCTCTCCCCCCGAATATGTAACCTTTCCCTGAAGGATATTTAAATATACGCATTTATAATTTAAAGGCTAAAAACTAGGAGACCTTTCAAACCTCCCCTCACCATCCCCTTCAGTTGTATCATATTTTAAACGCGCCCACGCACTAAAACACACTCCCTTAACTTATAATAAATTACCAGACTCTATATCGCGTTCAGACAAATTGACGTCAGTATAATGGCTATATCAATGAATACTCGAAATCATAAATAGTCAACATTATTCGAAGGATATAAAAAAAATGCAATTCATAAGTACCTTCGCAAACAACTGTGCATTATTTATTGGGTCGATCCAGAGCACCACCGTCAGCGACGTCGCAGCTGATTGCAACATTATGGAATGATAACGTTGCCTTTTCCATCTATTCGCGTACAATTTTTCTAAGAATTCCAGCATGTGCACATAAAACCCAGTGTAAAAAAGCATGATACAAAAGACCTACAAAACGCCATCCATCACAGAAAGGGTGGAACCAGTCTGCCTTCATTGATTTATTTAAACAATACAATCTAATGGACATTGAGTTAAATATTGTTTTAAGGTAGACCCATTATCGTAAGCATGTGTATCAATGCCGTGTCAACAAGTCTAAAAGTATTTGTTTCATTGACAAGAATACATTACGGGAGAATCGTCGCCATTCAAAGCAAGGGAAGAACGGGTTAAATGTGAATGTCGTATACGGCACCGCCTTAAAACAAACATCATCTAAACAACAGAGGTTACTGATATTGTCTCATATGTCGTTTGATTGTTTGAATATCATGAAGTGGTGTGTTTACCCCACACTGACTATTGACACTGATTAACTTATTGCCTATTGTGGCTTACAATCAGTATAAGAAGTGGATAGTGGATAGTATGCGCACGCTACTGTCCATGACCCCGGCGAACAAGACAACTTGAAATCACAACATATCACTATGACGAACAGACAGACAGACAGAAAGACAGATAGTTTATTAAAGTCTCACTTTGTGTATACATTAAAATATAATCCATAAAATATATATGCATTGACATAAAATATACCATTGTAAGAGATACACAAACCACTCCTTTTGGAGTTATAAACAGACACTAGAATACATAAAAACAATATAGAGTACAACTTGATATATATTACGTGTTCGCCTTCTTAAAATAGGCCGCAGGTTCTATCGTCCAATTGGAGGCTTTCGTATCTCCCGGTCTCTTTAACATGTCGAGTTATGTAGACCCGTGAAGGTCCGGGTTAGAATATTGATCTTCAGTAGTCCATGCTTATTTACAGACCGCCGCCATATATATACCTGGAATATTGCTGAGTGCGGCGTAAAACTAAACTCACTCACTCATTCGAAGTTATGTAAACTAATATTTTGTTACCTTTCAGAAATAATATGCACCTCAACCCCGTGGATTATTCCAAATGCAACCCAAGGAACAGTCACATCCAACAAGTATGCTGCTACCATCACATACACGTGCCTGGACGGTTACCGCAGCATCGCAGGGAATTCAACCAGTTACTGCCAGGAGACGGGAGAATGGTCAACACCAACACTTCAGTGTGAAGGTACTTGCAGATATAATCAAGCAATTGCCAATGGATTATGCAGAGTGATTTGAGCGAAACACAAACGAATCGTAGTATATATGGGGGATGCATGTTACAGTGATCACATGGGTGAGGAAACCCTGCCCTACCTATACTTGTAATGGCCTAACCTATAAAAGTGGTTGGTCTTGATAAGCTCTGTTAGCGCTAAGATAGTCATAAGTGCCATACATTAACATTAACTTACGAGTATCTTAACGATAAGAGAGCTTCGAAAATCTAGGCCCTGGAGTAAATTTACACCTGTTCTGGATGTAAAATAAAAGTATATTTACACCTGCTCTAGATGTAAAGTAAACGTATATTTACTCCTGCTCTAGATGTAAAGTAAAAGCATATTTACTCCTGCTCTAGATGTAAAGTAAAAGTATATTTACACCTGCTCTAGATGTAAAGTAAAAGTATATTTACTCCTGCTCTAGATGTAAAGTAAAAGTATATTTACTCCTGCTGTAGATGTAAAGTAAAAGTATATTTACACCTGTTCTAGATGTAAAGTAAAAGTATATTTACTCCTGCTCTAGATGTAAAGTAAAAGTATATTTACTCCTGCTCTAGATGTAAAGTTAAAGTATATTTACACCTGCTCTAGATGTAAAGTAAAAGTATATTTACTCCTGCTGTAGATGTTAAGTAAAAGTATATTTACTCCTGCTCTAGATGTAAAGTAAAAGTATATTTACTCCTGCTCTAGATGTAAAGTAAAAGTATATTTACACCTGTTCTAGATGTAAAGTAAAAGTATATTTACTCCTGCTCTAGATGTAAAGTAAAAGTATATTTACACCTACTCTAGATGTAAAGTAAAATATATTTACTCCTGTTCTAGATGTAGAGTAAAAGTATATTTACACCTGCTCTAGATGTAAAGTAAAAGTATATTTACTCCTGCTGTAGATGTAAAGTAAAAGTATTTTTACTCCTGCTGTAGATGTAAAGTAAAAGTATATTTACTCCTGCTGTAGATGTAAAGTAAAAGTATATTTACACCTGTTCTAGATGTTAAGTAAAAGTATGTTTTAAGCTCTAGATGTAAAGTAAAAGCATATTTTACACCTGCTCTAGATGTAAAGTAAAAGTATATTTACTCCTGCTGTAGATGTAAAGTAAAAGTATTTTTACTCCTGCTGTAGATGTAAAGTAAAAGTATATTTACTCCTGCTGTAGATGTAAAGTAAAAGTATATTTACACCTGTTCTAGATGTTAAGTAAAAGTATATTTACTCCTGCTCTAGATGTAAAGTAAAAGTATATTTACACCTGCTCTAGATGTAAAGTAAAAGTATATTTACACCTGTTCTAGATGTTAAGTAAAAGTATATTTACTCCTGCTCTAGATGTAAAGTAAAAGTATATTTACACCTGTTCTAGATGCAAAGTAAAAGTATATTTACTCCTGCTGTAGATGTAAAATAAAAGTATATTTACATCTGCTCTAGATGTAAAGTAAAAGTATATTTACTTCTGCTGTAGATGTAAAGTAAAAGTATATTTACACCTGCTCTAGATGTGAAGTTAAAGTATATTTACTCCTGCTGTAGATGTAAAGTAAACGTATATTTACTCCTGGAGTATCATACGATCCGTCCTGAGAAGCATGTTGTAATTTTCGCGACACATCGTGAGCTACTTCAAATCGTTACGACAAGGGGGTTTACACGTTTCGATGTCGAATTGATTCAGGTCGCTGCTACAAGTCCTTACAGATGAGGGTTCCAGTTCAGCAAGCGTTTCTTTAGTAATTCAAACATTTCTACCCACTGGTCATTATCAAAAGTGCCTTGCACAATGTCTGTCCACCGGGATCTTGAACGAGTCTTAACCCAATCATCCTTGTCCTTTGTTAAACCTAGGACAGATTTTGTAGTTTAAAAAATCTGCGGATCTCGTTTGCGTTTTTACATCAACAGCCCACTCGTTTTGTTTGAAGATTAAAAGACCAACTTCTTCAAAACGAGATGTAAAAAGAACCAAATCAGATATACCCCGATATGATTGGCGTTAGAAATATATGTATTTGCGGTATTCTTTGATTTACCGCTTTTAAAAAGTGGTTCGCAGATTACGTATCTTTTGAATATACATTGGCAGATAGGTGTTTCTGAACTAAGAGATACAAGAAGTTATCTTTGACTTTTCTAGATGTGAAGATAGTTCATATTTGATATATACCTGATGTCCCGATCACGTCAAATCCGGTTCAATGGGATCCATTGGTGGTCATCTGTGTAAAAATGAAAACATAACCATGTTCATTTCAGAGATTAACTGTAATCTCCCCATATGGCTTATTCCAAACACGACATCGACCAGCGTCTTGTCGTCCCAATATGGTGCCACTGTTACGTACAGCTGTGCTGTTGGCTACACCTACGTAGCAGGAAATGATACAAGTTATTGCCAACAAAACGCGGAATGGTCGAAACCAACAATTACGTGTCAAGGTAAGCGGTAACCCATATATAATTGGGACTGATTGGGTTGATGTCGACGATGTAAGGATGTAATATCCGTGGTATTAGCCTGTACAGTTTTTATCTGTTATTGTAAGACATGGTTTAAATGTATTTGGGTAGCCAAGTGGTAGATGCCCAAAACCAATGTTCGTTTCCAACTTTACGTTTGGTGTTTTCAGGCATGATATTGTTAAATTATTGTTGTAAAACAAATATGATTTAAGCTGTAGTTATTTTGCAAGTTCAATCAATTCTTGCAGTGACTCAATGCATCGGGGACCCTCCCGCCTTCCAAAACACGACCATGAACATGACGTCATCAAACTATGCCGACATCGTCACCTATTCATGTGTAGATGGGTACAAGTATACTGGAGGGAAGGAAACAAGTGTGTGTCAAGCATCTGGCACGTGGAGTGTAGCTACTATAATCTGTGAAGGTAAATGGCCAGTTCTGGTTCAGTTAAGGTTTGATCATTCCACACGAAAACTAATTAATCGCTGGTGTGTTGTTTCATACAATTTATTGTTCAATGTTTCACTACGGGTTTAAAGGCAACAATTTTATGTTGACCAAAGATGTCTCATTCTCATGGGTAACATATTGCTCACAGATATCTCTCAGACGGAATTCATCCACGTAACCATGAAGTTTTCTTTGATAAGGGTCACCCTTCACTGATCGAGTTCCCACTGACAGGGATCGCCTGTTAGACCTAGGAAGATCTCACTGACAGGGGTCCCCTGTTCCGCCTACAGGGTTCTGACTAATGGATCGTCTGTACTCAGAGATTCTCATTGAAAACGTTCACGTCTAACTGAGAGATACGTTATTGCAACGGTTCACCTGTTACTCGGAGAATTATAATTGACAAAGTTCACCTGTTACCCAGACAATTCTCATTGACAAAGTACACCTGTTACTCAGACAATTCTCACTGACAAAGTTCACCTGTTACTCAGACAATTGTCATTGTTTGAGTCCACATTATACCCAGACAATTCTCATTGATGGAGTCCATCTGTTATTCAGACAATTCTCATTGACAAAGTCCACCTTTTACTCAGACAACTCTCACTGGCAAAGTTCACCTGTTACTCGGACAGTTCTCATTGTCATTTGTTACTCAGACAATTCTCATCGACAAAGTACACCTGTTACTCAGACAATTCTCATTGACAAAGTTCACCTGTTACTCAGAGATTTCCCCCTGACAAAGAATATCTGTTTTTCAGAGACGTCTCATTGCCATTCATTTGTTTTCAGAAATATTATGCACCTCAACCCCGTGGATTATTCCAAATGCAACCCAAGGAACAGTCACATCCAACAAGTATGCTGCTACCATCACATACACGTGCCTGGACGGTTACCGCAGCATCGCAGGGAATTCAACCAGTTACTGCCAGGAGATGGGAGAATGGTCAACACCAACACTACAGTGTGAAGGTACTTGCAGATAGGATGTTATATGTTAAAGATTACTCATTGCATACTTTGGCTGTGACACAATAACTGACATTTACATGTTATACAAATTATAAGTTGCCCAAAGCATTTAAAGGTCATTAATATCATTTATCATATCAAAGGAGTTACAAGTTCCACCTTTACAAGATTACCTTACATATACCATACCAGCAACGATGAAATGGTTCTCAGTCAAAAATATATGACGAGACTACATTCTGTGATATTCTAGAAGACTTGAACAAGACTGGCCGTTGCATACACCGTCAGTGCGCCAGCTCGGAACTATTGGTCGAACTTGTGTCTGACTCGGTGTTTAAGAGAGAGGCAGCAAGTCCAGCGTATGATGTCATTGTTAAAATAGTAAACATCACTGAAAAGTGTCCTCTGAACAATGGTTGTTATATTGCATTAATGAATCAGTTATTGTGTCACGGACCGAAGACTGTAGGCATTCAACAACACTAAAGGAACATCAAAACACATATATATGGTAGTGTGACCAAAGGTGAGAACCTCCACGTGTGTGTTCTGTGTGAACAGGAATATAATTTTGTTTACCTTGTAAAAGAAAAAAGCAACGAAACACAATCCTATATTTGATCATGTATGTTTCAGAGATTAACTGTAGTCTCTCCCCATATGGATAATTCCAAACACGACATCGACCAGCGTCTTGTCGTCCCAATATGGTGCCACTGTTACGTACAGCTGTGCTGTTGGCTACACCTACGTAGCGGGAAATGATACAAGTTATTGTCAACAAAACGCGGAATGGTCAAAACCAACAATCACATGTCAAGGTAAATATATAGAATTGTTTGGGGTTTTTTTTTACTTTGTTTTTTGTGGGTTTTTTTGTTTTGTTTTACGTTGATGTAACACACGCCCACACACGCACGCGTGCACACACACACACACACATACTGTAACTAATCCGTAAATTAGCGAGAGCACGTATTGGGTTTCATTGCATGACCAGTCACACACGTTATGTTTCATGTTACAATGGGTCGTCTCATTTGTCATGGATATGTATCACAAGGGAATTACCACCTGCATCAAAGCCAGGTTAAGACATTAATAAATTATTCCCTTTTTCACTATTCTTGTCATAGTCGTTTGCATATACACTACAACAAAATGTGTTTGAAAATGTGAAGCGTTTCCAAAGCCTCACTAACAAAGGCCTAATGCCTAACGAATGGAATGGGAAAAAATGGATTAAAAAAAGCATGCTGATGTAGTATGTGTAACAATCCATTAGAATATTTAATGCATTGTATCAAGTCCTCAATCAAGAATGGAACGCAATACCCCAGCGTCAACTTCAACGTCTGAGGCGGGCCAAGGAGGTTATTGCGGTTGGTCGACATTATAGTGGGGCGGCTAAGACTGACTGAGTTTAGATTTACGCCGCTTTTAGCAATATTCCAGCACTATCACGGCGGGGGACACCAGAAATGGGCTTCACACATTGTGCCCATGTGGGGAATCGAACCCGGGTCTTCGGCGTGACGAGCCAACGCTTTAACCACTAGGCTACCCCACCGCCCCGGGGCGGCTAAGGCGAGGATTTTGTCAAAATTGTGCATTTTGGGGTAAAAGCATCAAAGTTGGCACACTGATACATCGAACAATTCTAAACATTTCTGGATATAGATGCACCTCGGCAGTGCCCCCTTGTGGCATAGAATCCAAGATGGCTGCCAGTTTGACTGAAATCTCTAACTATGTCAGTATATGCTCAATATATCATTATTATCTCGTCATATTCAGTATTGTAATAAGGACATAGTGCTGTATGTAATTTAGAGCTAATATTGTAGCGCCCCTGGTGTTGACAAAATTCCAAGATGGGCGCCAAATTTAGATTTCTTAAGAATGTTTCAAATGTTTGTACACAATGTCAGAATTATTTGTTCAGATTAATTCAATTTAGGATTTAAAAACGTCCTTGTTATGTGTTACTCAATGTTCTAGCTATTAATACCAAAATGATTTTCCATGTACATTTTAAAGTATGACTATGGTTTTGTATATGTCTGTGGTCTTATAAATGAGATCAGTTCTTTTGCAAGACGATGCATTTGGAGAGCATTTTTTGTGGTGGATATTTCATTAATGCAGCACCCAACAGCTGAATGGCAGGGAACATCAAATAAAGTTCAACTTGGAAGATCGTTGTCAAGTTGCCGTTAGTCTATACCCATGTACCCCCATAATGTTTTACCATATGTGCCTCCTTTAAAAGGAACTTTTACTCAAGATGTACATGGTGTAAACACAATACTTAATCATGAGTATGAGTGGTTGGAACACACGAAGGGACTACTGGGAAAACAAGATGATTTCCTCTCATGGGCAGCATTCAATGCACTAACAGACCCTCCAACAACAATTGTGCTTATGCCACTGTTTCTAGAATGCACACACTCTGTTGCATTCATTGAATGTGGTAAAGAAGGCTGTAGAGCAGTTACATCCAGGTCAGCTCCTGTGCTTACCGTGGATCAACCACTGTATGCAATTGCTAAAACAATCCTATGGAACTTTCGAGAATCATATGGTGAAGTTTGGTAGACTGCATATTTAAATAACTGCGTTCAGGATCCTTGAAGGAAGTGGATGAACAACTGCAATTTGCGTAGCTGAGTTGGGTTGCTGATTCCTTCATCAAGAGTACCCACCTTGCTAGATCAAGACATGTCCATCAGATCACATCCGCTACACTCTTCCTCCTACAACAACAGGCATATGCTCACTATCAGGAAACAGAACCAACTAAAGACGACCTTTTGACTTTTAGAACCTGGTGTGATGCAAAGTCTGCTTCCCAACTACAGTTTTGCTATTGGTCCCTTGTTCTTGAACTTGAACTTTGCATATTGTGCCTGGTGGGTGCAATTCGGAAAGCAGATTTCCAAAAGTATGTAGCAACACTTGTCAGAGTAATACCATGGGTCTTTATCTATGCACGATGGCTTTCAGTTCACATAAGAAACATGTCTTCCTTATTAGTGGGACACTCAGCACTGTCCAACAAATTTTGTTCCTGTGGATTTGTAGCACATAAAACTAAACGACCATTCTCTGAGCACTATGGCACAAGATCAGACTCATGAAAGGTGATGGAGCTGTGGTTGGACTGACAGAAACCCATCAGGATGGCTGGTTACAGAGATTCTTGAGAGGCATACAGGACCAGAAGTGTCTAAAATGATTCAAGAATTCAATTAAATATGAGAGTTTTGTGAAAGAAAGGTTCATTGACAGAAAACCAATAAAGGAATCAATAACAAAGAACAAGCTGTCACTGTTTTCAAGACGGAAGGCTCCTCCTCCTATGAAGACTCACTTTGCATTGTGGGCGATTGTGCTCTGTTTATCAGGCTGTACATAGCACGTCTAACAAGAGAAGGAAACTTAAAGATTTCTTCGAGCATGAAAATCAACCATGACCTCCTTTATTGTCCAAGATTGGAGAAATTAGATCTCGTAACAAAGCAGACCTTCTTGTACAACTTGAATATGTATGATCCCCAGGGAGTTGAGATTGATAATACGACGTGCCGTTGAGATTGACATCCAGTGATCGAGGGGAAAACAAAGCGCCTTTGAGCAGCTGAGCTGGATATCGGCGCTATAATTGTATGTATGTATGTATGTATGTATGTATGTATGTATGTATGTATGTATGTATGTGCGTGCGTGCGTGCGTGTGTTTCTGCAAAGCTGACCATGACTTTTTTGCATTGCTAGCTGAACAGGTTACGTCAACATAATTGGAAGGATAACAAATTGACAGCACCCTTGAGAAGCTGCTGACAGAAGAGTTCATGAGGAAGCCGACACCCGTCTTGTATTGCACATATCTGCTGCTTCACATGGTGGGCACAAAATGGTGCTGATTAGGACTGAAGATATTGACATTGTGCTCGGTCATTGATAATGATATCATTTCTTGAGGATTGGATGCCATAATCTTGAAAATGTCCACTCTTGTTAATGTCATACCACCATAATTATCAGCACTATTAAATGAGTCATGTTTGCTTATCTGAATAAATTAAAGATTTTCGTTCTTTTGCGTTTAGATTTGCCATTACATTTTTATTATTCAATTTTTGCCATGCTTACCTCTCTAAATAAACAATGTTTGTTCCTTTCGCCATTAAATTGATTCTTGAGGGTCGGTTTATCCAGATAGTAAGTTAAACTGAGGTTTGGTTAAGTTTCTTTGCCATGGTCAGTGGTAGAATGGTGGTGCTATGAAAGGTATGAGGCACGGCGTCCGCTCGTCACGCTGAAGACCCGGGTTCGATTCCCAACATGGTTACAATGGTCCCATTTCTGGTGCCCCCCGCCGTCATTTTGCTAAAATATTTCTAAAAGGGCATTAAACCATACTCACTCACTCACTCACTCTTTCCATGCGTATATATGCTTTGTGTAGTACGCTCACCTCACATATCCCCGTTCCAGCAGCAAAGGTGACAAAACCAGTCGGACTATTTGTTCCATAATAGGGAGACATCATATTAAGCATGAAGTAGGCTATGTCATTGTTCAGCCAAAGTTAGAATCAGTGCACACATTTTGTAGGCATCTTTATCAGGACTCTCACTGATGCTTTCAGTAATCCAGTGCCTTGAGACGTTTCCAGCATCCAAAACACAACCATGAACATGACGTCATCAAACTATGCCGACGTCGTCACCTATTCATGTGTAGATGGGTACAAGTATATTGGTGGGGAGAACACAAGCGTGTGTCAAGCATCTGGCACGTGGAGTGGAGCAAGTATTGTCTGCACAGGTAAAGTTTCAGGACGTGAGCTTAAATTAGGTACCGATGTCCACATAGTTAAGGTAAATACCGGATTCAAACAGGACAGCGTTGGGTGGGATGGGATGGGAGGGGCGCTAGATTCACTGCTGGACCGTGTGTGTTGTGTGTGTGTATTGAGAGGGGTGTGTGTTCCCAGCCAGCTCAAAGCAGAAAGTTAGGATCAGGGGGTTGGCATAATTCTGAGACGGCACCATCATGGATAATGCAGATGTTCACGTTAAGTTCATACCTGTCTCCACTGGCGGCCGTAAGGTACAACCACAAAGTACCAATCTACAGGTGGTGTAAGGAACACTGGATTGGGTGTCCCACTCTGAACACAAGGAATGATAATCCTGTCATGGTTTCCAGATTACATAGCCACAGGTCAGACCCTCGCCCAATTCTTTAACGCGACAAGAAGGGAAATGACCCATATTTCAACATTATACAGTGATGAAATAGCAGCTTGGTTCAGATATTTCTTCGATGTGAACACTAGTGAATTTATTGTGAAAAAAACTGTAAACATTTTGTTACTTCATATCTTTCTTAAAAATGGAAAAATCTGAAACTTCCTTGTGAACACTGAACACTGAATTAGTTTTATTGTCATATGTTCGCATATGGAATGAAGGATGAACCAAGCTGATGGCCAAGATACCTTCCGCCAAGTCCTCCCTGTATCGAGACAGACAGAAACTACTGCCACCACTCGCCACGAGCTGGCACAACATCCACCTAGATGGTTCCTGACGGCGAACATCTTCCAGTGAAGACTTTATCGAGACAGACAATAACTACTGTCACCACTCGCCACGAGCTGGGACAACATCCACCTAGATGGTTCCTGACGGCGAACATCTTCCAGTGAAGACTTTATCGAGAAAGACAGAAACTACTACCACCGGTCGCCACGTGCTAGCACAACATCCACCTAGATGGTTCCTGACAGCGAACATCTTCCAGTGAAGACTTTAACCTGGAGGAAGATGGGGGCCAAAGACAGCCTGGGTGATCTAAGTGAAGCAACCACCTGTTACTGCGATGGAACCTCCAAGCTTGTCCACATTGTTCTACCAACTCTAGACTCAACAAGGTGGAGGCTGTCATGGTCTCACTCGTCTATGCCCACCTTCCAGACAGACAACATAACAGAAGCGACAAAACCCTTTCCACATTCATAAGAAACCTCTGCTAAAAGCAGAGTCGATTGTACAATTGTGACTATATCATGAGTATATATTTGTTTCAGGAGTATTACAGCTGTACGGTGTTGTTTGTAAACAAATCGAGTCTGGACCAGAGTCAAATTGCGTCAATCCAGTGACTATCACCATGGCATAGCATGTGTTTATGAATCACTATGAAATAGTGAACATAACCGGTCACGAAAAGGTGAGCCTATTCTGCCCCACCGGTGGCACCCGTCATAAACCTACGCAAAGTCTAGTCAATTGTTCACCTGCAATAATTCGGGAACGAATGGCACCAGTCAAAAGATGGAATTGCATCGGAGATATGTTTTTGTCACAGATGCATCACATTTCGAAATGTCCTCCACATGTCTACCATACAACTTTTTGAAAGCTTCACTGAGACCTTGAATGTTGTCGCCCAGCCTTGGTCGAACACCGTCTGTGTGCAAGAGTGGTATGACGCTCTTTTGAAATCTTGGTAAAATCAGCATGCTCGAATGTATCTTAAAGTTGACAGAAATGTGAACAAACACCAAAGGCTGGAGCTGTTTGAATACTGTCATACAGCCTTGTGGAGAGTGTTTTGTCACTCTGAATCTTTATGCAGAGATCTAAATATGAAGCAGTTGATGCGATCTCACCTGTCTCCTTAATTTCAAGTTCAGGGGTATATCAGTGGAAGGGAATTGGCTATGTGATGGTTATTGAACGATATCAAATATAAGACCGATTCTTCCAAGCCGTGAAAGAAGAGCCACGTCCACAACACTCCCTATCGTGTGTCTTTATGGAGACGTTCCGACTACTAAGTTGGAAGTGTGTTACCTTATATTTCACTCAGTGCCTGTGGAGGATGTCAAGAGCCGTCAGCTGGACTCAGACAGCTGTATCGTCAAGATAATAGTGTTCACCGCCTTGTAAGAAGAGCTGCAGCTTTGCCCCGTCTTATATCAAAGATGGTAGATGTGTGTACTGAGACATTGACTAATTGCCCCACACTTGTAGACGATGCGTCTCGTTTTGCGAACTATGTCACTCTGCTATGGGTAGAGGGATCACTGCCTCGTCATTCTTGGAATCACATTCACAGGGGCCCAAGAGGCATTAGCCATGTTGAGGGGAGGGGCGGGGAGGACGTCCATGAGACTACCTGATACAATGTATGTACCATTGGTGTCATTCATTTCTTGTATAAACATTTGAAAAAAGAAACAAGGAGGTTTATGCAGTGTTGAAGACTATAGACAGGACTGATATCACGACTGGGGTGTAGTGAACCGATTTGGAGCTGGCTGGGGACGAGGCGCTTGTTACACCATTCAGTGACAATAACAAGCAAACTGAAAATCGTTGACAAGTAATTGTTGGCGTTGAGTAACTACTTACTTTAAAAACGGTAGGTGGTCTGTAATTCCAAGTTTCCATGAGATTTTTTCTAGATAGTCTAGATTTGTCATTGTCAGAGAAATGTAACAACAACATACGACAGGTCAACTCCTCAGAAAAAGTTCAATGAGGTCAAAACAGTGTTAAGATGGCCCCTTGAATGCCGCCATAGCATGTTCTCAATATTGTAGCATTTTTGCGGCGCATCGGTAAGAGAAATCGACAAATATCGCAATATATATTTACACTGTACCTTTCCAACCTAATGGCTAACATTTTCATTTTACAAAATGTATGAGGTTATGTTACCACATATATACATGTTCGTGCTTTCTGTCTCTACAGAATGGGAGGAGTGGGGTTGGAAGATACTGGACTTCTCGTCTGAGTACACCAGCGAACCTGGGTAACATTTCAGTATCTTCGCTCTTAAAGAGTGTCAGTTCCCCTGACGACAAGATTAGCGTGTACCGTTACTTGCATGTGCATCGAGTTGGCGTCTCAGAAAACTCTGGACCTATATGAAGTTGACTTTCTTCCATCTGATTTCATCTGATTTATTTATAAGGTTTAAAGAGGTACCATCGTGAGAGTATTATCATTTACCCTAGGTTATGACATTTGGTACAGGAGTATTTTTTAGAAAGGCTCAACATCAAGTAACATTAGTTGCGTCACATACCTTATTTTGCAAACGATGTCACCGCCTAAGGATTTTGAAAATAAAATACCACTTGTAATATGTTCACTAGTGATATGTGTTTTTTCAACAGTTTTCTCAACGGAGATTCTGGAGAGTTTGATGTTTACCCAAGTTACGGAGATCTAGAAGGAGCTGGGCTCCACTGAAGAAAGACTGTCCAAGCGGGAAAGAATGGATTCAGGTAAGCTTAATGTTACTACTGTGGTAAGTTTAAGTATTGTAGTAATACTGCATACAGCGAGTTCATATACTGGCCGTCCGACCACAGTCCAGGAAAATCATTGACGGTAAAGTAAACTCCTTGTCAAAGACCATTCATTATTCAAAGTCACGATTCAACTCAGCCGTGACGGCAACGCCATTGACTGTTGATGATAAAATACACGGTAATTGAATTAAGGAAAGAAAAGGTGTTAAATATGATTAGGCCTATTTAACCACCCCTCATTCATATGACAGATCAGTGGCTGGGTTCTCAATGAAGACTTGGTCAAGAATGAACATGGTGGGTCATTTGTTACTATATAATCGCCAGCATAACTTCAACTGAAATCAATGATACGCTCAACTGAAAGGTATGCTTTGCTTTTATGTTCAGAAATTGAGGGGACGTTCGTCAACGCTGGGATTTCGTGTTTAGTCAAATAATACTCGTTTCTCGAAATCCGGTTGTTTCGACGTTTTCAGCATGTGAGTGAAAAATGTATTACGCTGCTTCTAGCTTTATCCCAGTTACATCACGTCTGGTGAGATCTGCACACACGGTACCCAGCTGAGAAACCGAACCCGGGTCTTCGGCGTGACGAGCGAACGCTTTAATCACTAGGCTACCCCGCTCGCCCTTTTTCAGTGACAGTTATTTGGGTCGTGTTTGTTCACGGAATGTATTATAATGTATAATCTCCAAAAAGTAGGGGAACCTGAACTTTCAATTTGGATAGGGAATATAGAGTGTAACAAACTTTTCAAAGACAGACATCTTGTGAACGCACCGCCATTTCTCTTTATCACCAACCCTAAACACAACGCATGGGATGCACGTGCACAACGCAGTAGCCCCATACACGTGCCATTGTAGACCATTAATTTTGACAATCATCTGGCATCATATGTAAGTATTCGTTTCGAGACGTTTTCTTTTTGTTTGAAAATGAAAATCGTACACATGCAAATTTCACGTCATACACCAATTATCTTTCAAGAGCGATTACTGTACAAACAACTATGATCATAAGGAAGTGCAAGTGGTGATGCACTCTCAAAACATTCATTATTATTATATCAACACTGATTGACTCCGATATATCTCCAAGTGTTTCAACCGTAAATTGAAACGAAGTTCCCCTACTTTTGGTATGAGTATATATGTTACAGTTAGATTGTGAAATCAGTCATTTCGTGAAATGACAAAAAGTTTCAGTCATTTCATGAAATGACTAAAGAGGATCAACCATTTCGCTATTGGCTAATAAGTAGGTTGGACGTTTCCATCTAATTTGATGTAAATGTGCTTGATAACGACTGTCAATGTTCGTGATGCACGAAACAAATCACCAAGACGCATTTTGTGGCCCCGACTCTCAGAAACACAAAACACATGTCTTAGTCGGATACATGGGAAAGATCGTGCGAAAAAAATCAGTATAAATGGCCTGTCCAACACTGCAATATCACTGCACATAAAGTCACACAGTCAATGTCAAGGTTAATGCCAAGGTTAACTCCATGAAAGAGAAGGAGCAGTAGGGATAGTTGAATGGCTGACCCTCTTAGTTATTTCACAGAAATGACTGGAAATATTTAGTCATTTTACGAAATGACTGATTTCTACCCTCTGACTGTAACATATATTCAGGTCCTACCACCTGAACCCATGTCTGAAACAGCGTTGAAGCCGTATTGCCGATGCCATGTTGCAGGTGCAGTTTGCGGAGTCCCTGTACATACATCGTGTGGACATCTACGAGACTAACGTCGCCGGGTTGGTGAAGACTGTGTCGGTGGGGAAGAACAACGGTACATGGAGCAGTGTTTGGACAGCTTCGTCAGTGTCAGTGATTACACACAGCAGAATCTTCTCTCCAGAATTCACGGTAACCCTGTCACAAATGGTATAATGATCTCACAGCACGTTCAAAAGACATGGGCAATAGATTTTCAAAAGAGAGAATCCACGAGGGAAGGAGTGCTACAACTAAAAATCCCCATCGATCCGCCAAAGTTCATCAAACTCAAAACATCTGCACTACTACTACTACTACTACTACTACTACCCGAAAATCCGGGTTAGAATTGATCTTCAGGTAACCCAGGCTTGTCGTAAGAGGCGACTAACTGACTTGGTTAGACTTTATGTCATCGCATCCAAATTAATCCCAATGCTAATTATGCTGATCACTGGATTGTCTGGTCCAGACTCGATCATATATAGAACCGCCGTCTGTCATATGGCTGGAATATTGCTCAGTGTGTATGTTAATTGCGATATATATTGGACAAAAATAGTTAGGGATATATGTAAATTTTGAAATTGGCGAATAATGATCTATTTATACATTGACACACTAATAAAATATAAATCATAAAAATACTAATATCCCTAACTTATTTTTGTCCAGTATAGATGCTTCGTTACTGTCGTTTTAATGGAATGTTATATCTCCATGTATGACCAGACAGTTGGCGTTGTCTTGCAGACGCCGATATTCTCGTCCGACCGAGTCATGATTGAAACAGATTGTGCCCTGTCTTCAAAATGGGTGGAATTCGATTCCATCAAGATATTTGGACTCAAATCCCCACCGCAGACCTCACGATAATCAGACTTCTCGAGAGCTCGGCATTTACAATTCCATTTGGATGTATGGATTTACTGACAAGTCTGTTATTGAACTGTTGAGCGTGGTCGATATGTATGGTAAGAGGAACATCTATGTCAGGCCCGTGTTAAGTTGTTTTATTGAACACATAAACTTAAAGCAATTGTGTTTAATACCGGATTTTAATAAATCAATTTTTCTTGAAACCCGCGAAATTTAGGTTTTATTTCTGCGAGAAAATTCTGTCAGCTACATATCTGACACAAATGCCAGGTCCGATCAGGTTTAGTAGAATAGAATAGAATAGAATAATACTTTAATGCCTTTTCAGGAATTTGTGTTACATCAGCAGAGCTACTGACACATTAGAGAGATACCAACATATTTACATAAATTCTTTGATTTAGGTATCTTCACTTTGTTTAAGAGAGATATGGTGCTTTGGAATAAAGGATGTACGAGCTCTCTTAGTTTTCACAATTGGAACTTTGTAGCGGCGGCCTGAAGGGGAGGCTGTATTCCGAATTTAAGTAGTGAGTACGGTCAGATATGATTTTTGACAGCTTGATTCACGATATGCCGCTCCTCAGGTCATTCAAGCTGAAGGAGGTGATGTGAGGTGAAATTGGGTTTAACGTCGTGCTTGAGAATATTTCGCCTCATATGACGACGTGCATGCGTCAATGTATGTGTATGTGCGGCAGTTGTACTAGCCCAGACCTGGCTGGTTTTATAGTGCTAGCTCACTGAGATACCACGCCGCAGTGAAGCATGAATACCCCACTCAGACACATTATACTGACTCCGAGCTGACCAGTCCTTGTTGCACCCATTAATGCCGAACGCCAGGCAGAGACCAACAAGTACCATATTTTAACGTCTTTGGTATGACGCGGTCGGGGAACGAACCCGCGACCTTCCGCTCCCCGGGCGGACGCTCTTACCACTACACCACGGAGGCGGTAAGCTGAAAATGTAATGTCTCCATGTTGTTGGGGATGCACGTCAGGTTGCCGTCAACCCTCGCGATGGCCTGCATAATCAGAGTGAGAGTCATACCCTCTCAAGTTGTGAAAGACCACGGGATGTTTATTGTCTTGGGGTTGATTCTAAGCTTGAGGTTACACGCGCTGTGAGCGGCGCCTCTATACTTACCGGTGACGTGGCAGTGATCTCTCACCGAATCACCGTTCAGTGGTGAGTCACACACGTGGCAGTTAGTGCTACAGGCGTGAGCTAGCCTGTCGGCTTTGGTCATACGCATGGGAGCGACTGTATACAGTGCATTCCTAATACTTTTTTCTTCCTCCTGCAAACACTTTAGAAACTTTTCAGCCGCGTCGGGACCCCTGTACACTACGGGAGCTTTCGTTTTCCCATCACAACGGACGACTACGTATCCAAACCCACAGGCCTCATGCTCTTGTGTTTTCTGTGTGGTTGGGGTACCCCCGGCAACCTCAACTGGTTTGACCAAGGCTTCAAAGTCGGCGTAGATGATATAAGGCACAGACATTTGGTTCTTGTGGTTGTCGAATTTTAGAATATTGTCACCTTCCTTAGGCATGTCAACTCGTATTGCCGTCTGCCCCACACCTTGGCAATCCTCCCGGTGGGATTCTAATAAATCAGCTTGACTGAAACCGTGCAGGCATCGCACACAAAAGTGTTTTTTCCCAACGTGTTTCGACTGGTCGTGCAATAGCCTGCTGAGATGTTTTATCCGCATGTAGTGATACTTTTCACGTCGCTGGGTCATGAATATATTGGTAACGTGGCGACCCTCCTCCCCCAACACTGGACTGACCCTGTGCACTTTTTGTTGTGTTACCTTCCAAACCTCACAAAGACGTTTATGGCTATATTATTCTGTTTTTCTACTTTGGTGATCTGGGATATGGGGGTTGGTTCATATCTATACCATCCCAGTTGAGCCCATCGTCTTGGGGATGGCTAGAAAACCTGTCTGAATGAGTGTCAACTGGATACAAGTCTGCCCTGATGGCTACCCCTCAGGCAATCGTCTCCTCTATTCTTGACGTTGACCATGGCATGTTTTCTTATAGTAGGGGAAAGTCTAGGTATGACCCACCTCTGAACGGGCAACGTAGTTAGCTATGTCTAGATAGACATTATCGATTTTTACATCAACAACCTACCCGGACCCCAAGTGTGTGTAGCGTTCTAGGTATTCTCGTATCTGCTGAAAACTGGTATCGATTGATGCGTCTATGAGGTCTCTGTGTGAGTGATGATTTCTTGTTTACCTCGGAAGTAAGGCTGAACGTACTCAGTGACCCCATTCCCCGCCTGCTTATCGAGTGACATTTTCACTGCAGATCTGGAACTTTATACTTCCCCAAATCGTTGAGTTCCCTGGTTGACTTTATCAGCTACCAGAGGTTTTGATATCTGTGATGTCTATGTTCCTATCAACATGCATGCGCCAGCCTTCCTCATAGTTACCAGCAACGCCTCAGTGGGTATGAACTGTAGGTCAATAGCCTTCCCATTCTGCCGTAATAATAGTTCTACAAGCTGTGGTTTCCTCTATACGGGAATATCCGCCTAAACCCAAATTGAGGTACCTCGCCGCTTTTTAATTGTTTTACAGTGGGAGGTTTTTGCTACGGGGTCATGTGATAACAATCGCGACTAACTGCCTCCCCGGGTGGGTATAACCAGTGAACCCAAGCTCTTTGGCTTGGGCTTTTAATCGTTTTACTGTGAGAGGTGCTTGTATGTTAAGTAATCTCAACAAGGCTGATTTGCATCATTCGAGGTAACCAATCACACCCTCTGCCTCAAGTGATCTGCTTGAGCTCACTAACAGAACAGTCGCCAGTTTAGCATTACCTAGGTATATCAATCTCTAATTGGGCCGATTTCTGGCAAGGGCCAACCTTGATAAAAATAAATATGAGTGAGGCGTCCATAAAAAATCCTTTTAGTAAATATCTAGATTGGCACCTCATCGATTATTCCTCGACCCACTTCCGGAACATGCGCAGCATAGTAGGGTGTTTTGTATTACTTCTGCAACGAGTCGTCAACAAGTATATCTTATCTCCCCATGCGCATCTACTCGCCCCCCATCAAAGTAATTCCAAGTGTGCCCAGCTCCATGGCACATCAACCCTACTTTCACCATGATTGTAAACGAGCAGCTTTATATAGTTCGCTAACAATCATGGGTTTGAGAACACTGATATCTATACTTTCCCCACATGCATCTGCCAGCTTCTCCGGGCAACTTTCCTTTGGCTTCCAACTTCCACAAACATTGTTATACCTAGGTGTGCACATCTTCTAATTGGGCCACTGGCAAAGGGACCACAGCCTTTACACTGCTATCCTGAGGAGGCGCCTACGTTCTTTCTGGTAGTCTTTTTATTCTGCGTAGATGAGATGATGTCTGACCACGCTTTTGCTCCGTGAGCTTTGCATAGCCAGGTAGTGCCCTTTAACCCCTATACCACACACACAGAACACGTTTAGTTAGGGCTTCCTCATGTGGAAGTAAATATACCCTCAGTCCTGCATCTCCTACCACAGGGTTCTTCCTTTCTTCCCTATAAGTATGTATTCACATCATCATGGAGCAGATCTCATCTTTGGTATACCCTTATATAAGTACTTGAGTCTAATTGTTTTGCAACCAACGCAGTCGCTGCTATACCCAGCGATGAAGACCAGTTCACGGGTCCATTTGCCCCTTGGATGGTGTGTAGTACTCGAGCGAGTGTAGGCTTTATTGGAGTGGTTCCAGCTGTTTACCTGTTAGTAGGTAGTATTCTCTCGCCAGTCAGTCGACATCGTGGAATGTTTTAATGGCATGGTTCTCATGCCTGAGTTGTTCATTAATGTAATCGGATCCTCTGATATCACACTTTTGTTTTATGCATCGGATTGTGCAGCTTGTAATTTCTCAATAGCAAGGTCGTGTCGCTTCTCTGCTTGTATCTCAGCCGTGACTCTCGAAGTTTCCGAGAAGAGGAAATTACTTCCCGAAAATGCCAGGGCATTTACTTTCAACGCCCCACCAACCATCATGGCGATCATAGCCATCCTATATTTACTTCATAATATTTTCAGGTAGTATCCCTTTGTTTTACTAGGATGTCCTTTGTGGCCATCGCCATACCAAGGTTCATTATGAGCATACCCATATCCCGCAGATTGAAATTCTAGCTTGATAGTTGGTTGTTTAAACCATTTTTGGTCAACCGAGCGTAATCTCTACAAGCTAGACTAGCGACCACGGTGGCGGTATGCTGTTGACTTAACGTTTTCCCCTCTAGACATTATGTATATGATATAAAATATATATTTTATAACATGATATGTGGGTTGACCTCTAATTGCGGGGTTTCTCCGGGCCCCCGATCCCTGTGTCGTGGTATAACCATGAGATAGCCACCGGCAGCAGTTACTTCTGCAACCAACAAGAGTCGAGTGGGGTTCACCGTGATACTTTTATGCGTTGCGACACCACCTTTTACCGGGCAGCTACCCCTTAGGGTTCTTCTGCCTGGTGACTGCAGGAGGGTTCACCTCCAGTTGGGGTTTCCCAACGTGGTGGTAGTCTTCCCTGGGGGTTTGGGTGGTGTGTCTCCTCCTGCAGCAGCATCCATCTATACTATTATTATTATTTTCCCTCCTTAAATTGGCAGGCAATGTTTTGCCTTGATAATCGCCGGCTGTCACCGGGGCTAGAAACATACCGTATTTGTGGTACAGCACGCAGCTGATAGAGCCTCAAGGCGGTTCAATAAAAGGGTCTTTCTTTCAAGGGCCTCCCACAGGTAAAGTCACCGGGCTCCGGGGATGGGAAGGAAAGTGCACGACGCAATACCAGTGTATATTCGGGTCATAGCCATCCTATAGTTTTCGCTTTCATCTCTGCCCCCGAAGTCTAGACTGCGAATCTAGCGACGCGCTTATCGAACATTTCTTCGGGCTGACATTTTGTGAATTTTATCGGGAGTGTAGTCTCCAAAGTAATGTTTGGCTTGGACCACCTGGCAATAGCCACCAGTCTCTCCTCGCTAAGTCGCCACTCACCTGTGGTGATGGTGGCACCAACTGTTGTCTCGAGCAGTTCATCACACTCCATCTTATAATGTAACAAGCAAGTTTTAGTTTTAATAATATAATATCACGGT